CGTCCCATCTCATGGTGGCCGAGGTGCAGCAGAGCGAGGCAAGAACCGTCTGCTGCACACAGCTGGGTGATTACAAAAAATAATTCTCCTTCCTGACAGCCACGGGCAATGAGCAAGTGCTGAAGCAGGAGAGCAGCCATGCTCGTGCTTGCTGGTTAGCAGGCGCCAGGAGGGGAGGCAGAGCCCTGGGCAGGGCAGCTGCTGCTGTCCAGAGGGCGAGGAAGAAGAATCGAGGGAGGATGGCCACCAGCAGAGCTGCAGGTGCTTGAGCAGGAGGGGCAAATGCAGTTAGACCTCCCCCCGAAAACAGCAGAGCCGTTAAATGCTTAGCGCCGGGGCGAGGGGTGGGACGTGCCGCTCACAGCAAGCCACGGCGCTAGCGTGACCCGCGTCGGCAGAGCCCAGCACGGACGGAGGCAACGGAAAACCTTTCCGGTGTCACCTCTGGGCTGCCGAGTGCCAGGTCTGACTTCTGGCCCTGTTGCCAGGCCTGGGGGGGACCTCTGGCCACCCAGGTCCCAGCCCCGAGGACACGACGCCCTGCCATGCCAGGCTCACGTGTTGTCATCCCGCTGGGGCTGCCCGCGGGCTGAGATTCCCCCGGCGGGGGGCACGCGGCCCCTTTCGTCCTGGCACTGGGAGGCCGAGAAAGAATTGGGCTGGGAAGGCAGCGCAGTGCGGTGCTCTGACTGCAGAAAGGAGGTGGCCTTTGAAAAATGCCCGAGGGCTACTAAAAAATGCATCCCTTTGCAGCAACGGTCCTGGGGAGAGGAAGGAGAGACTGTTGCTCAGCGCACAGAAGAACCGCAGGCGGTAACCACGGAGCCGCGTGAGCCGAAGGGCTCGTGGGGATCACTTGGGGCTGACGTTAAGGAGGAGAAGCACGAGGTGTCGGCCAGCTGCTGGTGGCTGGCTCGGGTCGCCGCACAGCGCCAAAGCGCGGAAATCGCTTAGGACCGGTGAAAAACTGCGGGTGTATCATGCCACCAAAGAGACACAGAGAGAGGGTATATGCACCCACCCACCCATCTAGATGTCTTAGCTTTTCTTCGCTATGCAGAAAGCTGAAAGGGGAGAGGATGCTTCTGCAAGAAACAAACCTTTTGTCCTCATTGATATTTTATTTTCAGGCAAAGCTTGGAGAATCTTGTCGCAACAAGAAGCGGGGAAATGCGAGTTGAAAAGCCATCAGAATGAACAACGTGAGGTTTTCCAGTTTTGTTCCCTTTTCTGGCTGTGACTGTGAGCTGTTGGCCGCGGAGGCGGCCCGGTTTGTGGATTTCTGTGGAGAAAGTGGGACTGAGCAGTTCTGCGAGCTCTGCGCCAGTAAATGAAGGAGAAAAAGTGGGAACTGAGGCCGTGCAGATGCAGGTATGACTCGAGTGGTCACAAGCGTGGTCCTGGCTGCTTGTTTCAATTAATGTCTCTGCATTAAAACGGTGATTCGATCCAGTACCAAGACCTGCCTCCTGGAGAGACCCAAACTCAAAGCACCTTCAGGCAGAAGGGCCCTTTCTCCTGGAAGTCAGCTGCAACCTGTTTTTCTACAAGTGATCTCCTGAAACATTCCAGACTCTGTAGACCATCTCGACAGGGTCCGGTCGTTCCCCAGCAGAGCACTGCCACAGCAGTGGGGAGCCCAGGAGGTCCTTGGGGACGGTTTCACCGCACCACCAGGACCGGGGACGGCCGCCACGCACACGGGGATGGCGGGGCGCAGGAGCCAGCGTGTCCCACCCGACCTCTAGGCACCTGCAGCCAACTTTGGCTACTCCTGTTCCCTGCCCCACCTGGTGCAGACCAGTGCTTTAAGCTGCTCTTCAGTTAACATCGTTTAAACCCACTGTTTATTCCTCTTTCTGTCCCACCTTGCTTGTGCAACCTCTGGCGTCAAAGGTGTAGAGAAAAGTTTTTAAGTACTTATAGACTTTCCTGGGTAGAGTAAAACTAAACTTTTTAGCAACACCCTTACAGCACCAGAGGGAGTGGGGGCAATTAGAGGTGTGCTATTTATCCCCAATTTGTGAGGACATTTCCCAGGGAGCTTAACTGCAGGTGAGTGCCACCATTTAATGGGCCCTATAACATCCCCATCCCACAGCAACCTCCGTGTGCCAGAACTCTGGGGTGGGATGATGCGGCTGCTGGAGGCACTTGTGGCAGGTGAGAAGCACCCGTACCTCCAGCACGCTCTTTTGGAGGCTGTTTCTTGAAAAAGATGCTGACTGTGACTGTTTCTACAGCTTTGCTTGCTTGGCTTTACTGGGGCTTTCCCAGCTTTGGAGAAGAAGGAAAGAGAAACCAGGCAGGAATCACTGGGTGATTCTGGCACCCACAAGGCCAGGCTTGCTCAGCACCTGAACCCTGTCATTACGGGTATTATGCAATCGATACTGCATAATTCTGCTCAGGGCATTTCACTCTTCCTCGTGTTGATCAAAACTTGCATTTTTCTCAGTGAAGTCATTGCCAGCATTACTTCTGATTGCATATAATATATGGCCTCGCCTGGCCCCACAAGTCCCAGCTGTGCTCAGCCCTGAGCCCTCTGTCCCCTGGGCGGTGTTGCAGCTGTGCTGGTCTGCACCCCCGTCTCCTGGACGGATGCCTCGGACCTGTGCTGTAGGCAGCTCCTCTCCTGGATGGAGCCCTTGGGTGTCTGTTGTAGCTTGCCCACCAGCCCCATGCTCCTGATGGGCCCTGGACCAGTTTTATCACATGAACTTTGACTTAGGATCGAGGGCCAAATTGGCCACTGGAATGTTCCATGTCATGCCCAGTAAGTTGGGGGTGCTCTCAGCTCTCTGTGTCTCTCTTGTGCTCTTTCCAGGCCTCTCGCTCTTCTGAGAGTGTGGTTTTGGGACTTACCTGTTTCAGGATAGGCTGCCAGGACAGAGTGGGAATTGGTCACCAGGTGATGAGCAGTTATACTGTGCATCATTTGTTTGTATATATTATTACCATTGTATATCTGTATTCATATATAATTTTAGTCATTATTACTTTTAACTTTATATTATTATCAAATCGTTCTTATCTCGACCCACGAGTCTCCTTCCCTTTTCTCCTTTAATTCTCTTCCCCGTTTCCCAGAGGGCGGCAGGGTGAGCGAGCGGCTGCGTCACATTTAGTTGCCAGCCAGGTTAGAGCATGACAGACTCCCACAGCGCGGGACAGCCCGCTCTTGAAAACTCCTCTGTTTCCATAGAGGTCCCCTACGGCATTTCGGCCCTGTGTCCTTAGGGGCTTAGGTGCTAAAGCCCAGCCTCGCGCACACCCGTTGTTGTGGTTTGGTGTTGTGTTGCACTGTAGTTGTGTCGATGGCCATCTGAGAACGTACGGTACGGTATGGTATTTGGTTTTTGCGTTGCGTGGTCCTGAACTGTACAGTATGGATACTGTACGGCCCTGTATCATA